TGTAAAATATAAAGAAATATAAAGAATAATTTATATCGAGAAAAGCAAAGGGAAAAGATATATTGTATTTCTCTGTATAGTAAGAAAAGCAAATAATTAAAAACTCTTTTGTCAAAATATTTTTCCGTAAAATTATGATCGGCGTCTGACTCAGCCTGGTAGAAAATCAAAGTGGCCGTGAGCCACAAAAACTCGGAAAAATTGATTATCTGTTTGTTGATATGGCCCATGGAAGGTGTAAGAGTTATATTCACGGCACTGTCTGTAATTTGGCCATCATGTCACTAGTGAGGCAGCTACCATCACTTTTCGAAATCATATATCTAATCGCTTCAAGTTTTGCCTTCAAACGCGAGGCCTCTGCCTTACATAGGCCATTTTGTTTAAGTGACTTTAGTTGTTATATATCTGGAAATTTTTTCCCAACAGCACGCGCCCTCATTGGTTACTTCAAGGTCACATGACATCTAACTATCAAACTGTTTCCCGCCAAAATCTCTGAACAAATCTATGACGTCAGAGAGTGACAATGCACTGTTACCCGCTAGTCTTGACCGACGTCCGTCGTTACAGCAAGGTTTATTGAATTTCCATGAATTTCCTGAGCTTCAAAATTTCCAGCTGTATAACAAAACGCTTAAATACTGGTCCCTCGGGAAACAATTAATTTTGTTTCCTGAGAATCTCCATGTTTCCCGTGGCGGAGCCCGCGGGAAATATTGACTGGATTCGAGGGAAACAAATCAACAGATCATAATCCTATTATGATCTCTTGACAAAATTAATTGTTTCCCTCGGGACCAGTCATTAAGTGCCGTGTTTAATATTGTCAAGTAATAGGCGTTTAGTTGATATCATTACCGAAGGGTAAAATTAAAAAGCTGTTGTAGCATCAATCCATTAAAGTGAAGTCCTAATAATATTGAAAACCGTTGTAAGCTACCTTCAGTTAAATAAAATTAATGAAAAACGTAACCTTATACATTTTCTGCGGTAGAAATTGGTCTTTGAGAAATGCAGCCATGAAAATTAAGAGAGATGGAATGATTTATTACTGAATAAAATTTTACTTCACCGAGGAAAAATTGCATGTTTTGGGTATCTTAAGCAAAGGAAATTTTCGATAGGAAAAGGAGACTTGTCAGAGGTAAAGGAAGATGGGGGTTGTAAAGGCTGCTATTTGTGCAATAGTTAGTATTTATGTCATATTTTTTAATGTCACCGGGCAATATCTTATTTTAATGTTGATGTTGTAGATGTAATATTCAAATAGGGTATATTTTTAATATGGTGTCTCCGATTAGTGTATAAACGCTAGAACAACTGACACTTTAATAACGTTACTGCTACTGTACTGCTACTACTTCATTCTCAGCTGTTGACTCATTGCCTTTCAGAAACCCCACAGGTATAAATTCTTTCAGGGCCTTTATTTAGAAACTTCCATACATTCGGTTATTACCGAACTTCTCAAGAGTACATACCATAACACTTTTTTTTTTGTGCGAAAGGGAAGAAATACCTTCTCCTTGCTAAACGATGTTACAGTTGAAGTAAAAGAAGTGAAGATACCTTACGTCCTGGAACACAGCTCTTTCTGTCTTTTTTCGTCAAACACTTTACAGTCAAGTCTCTAAAAGACAGACACATTTGACCGGACCGTTACCAAGTGTCCGTATTCATAGAGAGACGTCCGTTCTCGGAGAGAATCAAATCAAGGAAGTAACGAAATTAAAGCACCAACTTTAGGCGTCCGTTTTACCGAGGAGTCCATCTTGTAGTAGCGCTATCCATCGGATAAATCACTATCCAGCGGATAAGTATTAGGGAAACCGATTAAGCTATCCGCTTTATAATGATTTATCCAACGTTATAGCGCTATCCAACGTTTGAATAACCGGAGCCTAAATTACAACTGCTATTGAAAAGTTTCCTTAATTGACACAATCCCGCAGAAAATTAATTGTTTTTTAACTGAAAGTTGGTAATATTCCTCATTATACTGACTTTGCACCTCGACGAGAGATTTATCACTTTTATGCACTTTTTTAATGGTTAAAAACCTAAAAAAAGAGGCCGACCAACGGATAGACCTAGGCGAAAGTGACCTTTCCAGTCAAACAAAATGTGATATGAAATCAACTATCATTCAAAATTGAAGAAAAGAAACCCACAACTACGCATAAATGGGTGTTTCTCAAAATAAATAAACTCAAAAAGTTTCGATTTTAAAAAAAAAAAACAAACATATATTACCTTGACATAGTAAGATTTAATCTGGAGGTACTTCATGAGGATGTCATATAAAATCACTTAATGTCAAATTGAAAGAAACAACACAACTTTCTTTAATTTACTATATATGTGATGCGACAGTAACAGTCCGCCATCTCCTAAGTAATAGTAAAGTATAGTAATTAAAGTACTTATTTGGTCCTAAAGCAATCCTAAGTACGGTACCTAAGTACTTATTCGGTTTACTTATCCTAAGTACTCATTTGATCCTAAAGCTAAAGTAATTATTTTGAAATCACCGCCGTTGAGTTTCTTCTTTCAAAATATGTAATACTGATTAGGGATGTAGCGGCGTCGCTACATTTCTGCTAAATTAAAGAAGCTGACTTGTTTCTGCGACTATCTTTACTATTGCTGCTTCTCCTAGTCGAGAGCGGACCCTTTAATTTAAGGACATTAATGGTATTTCAGTCACAAGACAGACTCAAAATAAGGTCACGGCCAGGTGCATCGATTTGAAAATGAACTAACAAAGATTTATTAAAATATTAGTGGCTTATTGCCTAATCCAGAGACGTTTTTTTTTCCTTTTGTGTTTCAAGCCTTGAATATTCAAGGCTGCAAAGACCACTCGACTTGTCCTAATGACTAACGAAACTGCGTTGTCTGCGTTGAGGCCTGATCTCTTCACCCTTGCGAAAAGCAACCTTAATTTGTAGTACAGTATTAGAGCGAAGGCGTTCTTAAGTTTTACACACCTCTGCCACTGCCTCGGGTCTGCCTCCACATAGCCTGCGTTGCAGAAGTTATCTAACAGATCCAGCCCCGGTTAGAAACGTCCGACTGAACCACAAGTTTAGTTGCGTCTGTGGTGTACCCTATCTCCATCTGGCCTCCACCAAGCTTCCAGTGTCTAATCAAAGAGGTAAATCACCGCAATATACTGTTGACTGATCCTTCCTGCCGGAAAACCGACTGAAATGGCCTAAACCAAGAGAGAATGAGTCATTCTCTCTTGCCTAAACACGTCATTTAGCTTCAAATCTTCAAATTCAACGGTAAGAGTAGAGCGACTGTCTACCGCCTTGCTAAATATGGCCCAAATAGAATTTTTGCGACACAACTTCAGATTTCGATTTCACTCGGCCCATTTCTTGCTAATAACCGATCGCACTTACAAACAGGCTGTTCAGTTCTTTCTTGTTCACGGGTGCTGAACTGACTTTTTCTCAAGCTTGTTTTTAAGCATAGCTCAGTTTTTGATACGGACCCCGGAAAAAAATGAGACTTTGTATACTTTGTGTATTTTAGTAGCAACAGTCGCTGAAATCTCTCGGGAAAATTTTCTCCGATGAAGATGAGTTCACGTGAATTTGCTCACGTGAGTCTCGACGTCTTAGCAGATACTGAAAAGGAAACTTTAAATGCATGGGGTAGGAACGATAAATTCTAAAAATGCAACCAAAGGTTGTTTGCACGTTTGGTTTACATAAACCAGAATCTTGATTTTTTAAAATACATTACAAAAATATGAACAGATGGAAAAGAGTCACGTGATCTGTTTTGCTTAATTATTCATCAAGTGGAAATCGGAGTCAACCATTCCGGCCAGATTCATGCGATGAACAATCATTTTGAGATATCTACTGTCTGTGCTGGCGTCTTTTCATTCCATTTCAATTTTTTCTTCTTTCCCTGACTTGACCATACCTGGTCACCTGAAACAAAATGTCTTTTTACGTAACAAGCAAAGCAAGGTTGTCAATTTTCAATCCTTGGACATTTCGGGAGCCCCTAACCCGGAGCGCGTAACTCTAGGCTCACGGGCCTATGTCACGACGCTTTACGTTTTATTTTTAGACACATGTTTAGGGCACTTTTTCCCGCGAAAATAGCATGTCCGCTATGTCTATGAGCACATTCGAAGTATAAGGTATCAAAAAGGAAAATTAAACGTCACTAAAAGGCAAAAGATATCATTTTTAGGTCTGCAGGTTTTGCTGACTGGTTTGTGGAATTTAAAAGATATTCAAAATTCGCGGCAAAACCGTTTTAAAAATAAGATGTGTAAAAGCCTTCGGATGCTCTTCGTTCAGGAGGCATAATATTGTTATGGCCTATACTCAGCAATGTGTGAGGAAAAACAGAAAGTATTCAAATCGCGATTGATATTTACCGTATTTCCTCGAAGCCGGGGGCAGGAAGGCGATTATTATTTTTTTCGCACAAGAAAGGGGCGATTGTTCGAGGGAAGGCGATTATTTTAAACATTGCTCACTGGAAGTCGTGCCCTAAAATGATCACATCAAATAAACTGAACATGGGCTTTTTAGTGCTCCAAATTTGGTTCCTTGACTACTTTTCAATGTCAGATCCTCGGCGTCAGAGCTTGAATAGTTACTGATGAGTTTTGTAGCATCCGGACTCCACTTCAACTTGACAGGGAGGGCATAAAAGAAAGAGAAGATGGCGAGAAGGGTCTGGGGGCGATTATTCGAGGGAGGCGATTATGTTAAATATTTTCGTCCAAGGGGGGCGATTATTCGAGTGGGCGATTAATCGAGGGGCGGCTGTTATTCGAGGAAATACGGTATCCATTTACGATTTCTTGTCCACCAGACTTATTCAACGTCCTTTCCTCTTTTCATCAGGCACTGTACTGTGTAAGTTATCAAAAAAACTGCACCTGGCTAACCGTTATTATCACGCCAATGAATCGCTCAAGGGAAACTGAGGATAGTTATCTCAATTTACCAGCTCCCTCTCAAGAAATTGCAGTCTCTGTTGTTATATTGTTAGCAATCGCTATGACGGTGGGAACTGTCGGCAACTTTGGAGTTTGCGTAATTCTTGCAAGAAGAAGAGACCTCCGATACGTTCCACATCAGTTACTCGCAAGCCTCTCCTTAAATGGTCTTCTTTCTTCTCTAATATCAGCGCCCGCGGTCTTAGGAATGGCGGTGGTGAACTATTTTCCAGCGATCGGTGACGTCTCGTTGGACCTATTATGCAAAATCGGATACTCTTCCTCCATGGGTTTTACCGTAATCAACGCTTCAACTTTGTCCATGATGGCCATTGATCGGCAGCATTGTGTCATATTTCCCTTGAAGCGACGTTTGTCACTAACGAATGTTAAAAGAGTGATTTCCGTCACTTGGGTAGCAGGATTTCTGTTTGCTCTCCTCCACGGTTTAATACTACGCAAGGAGTCTTCCGTCTGCTCAAGAATGGACCCTTACAATTCCTTTGTCACCATTCCTGACAACCATATCATTGTACTTTACTCTCTAGTTTTACATACAATACCCAACGTCATCACCGCAATAGTAATCGTCATCACAATTTTTCGGATTTTAAAAAAGCTTCGCTCTTTTATTTTCACGCGTTTAACCTCTGTAAATCGACGACGCGAATATAAGATAACCAAAATAACATTCCAAACTTGCGCTATTTTTCTCATTTGTTGGTTTCCGAACATAATAACAACCTCTCTGGTCCGAGTGGGTGCATTTCGTCGTGTGGCCGTGACCCAGCCCATCAAGCTTTTTGCTGTGGTTATATCGAAATTTAACTACGTTGCAAATCCTTTACTTCATTTTAAAATGCTGCAAATTACACCGCCCAATCGTCTTTTCTTAAATCCCAACTTTCGGGTTGCCAAAATAGCCACCTTAGATGATGACAGTATTAAAACAACTGCCATGTAAAACTTTAAATTGTTAACATGAGTTCTCTTGATGTGTTGAGATGTGATTAGAACAGGGGACTGGACGGCCACTAGAATGTGATTTTATATCTTTATCATAAGAGTTTACGTACATAACTTCTGTTGATTTCATTTTTTTCAATAAAATGCTGAGCAGAGAAAATGATCAAAAAAGCGTGATGCACGTGCTAATCCAAACCTACTGCTTTCTGCCGTTGTCGTTGCCGTCGCCGTTATTGTTGCTAAAGCGCCTTAGACACGCAGTGCCAACGAATGGTCCGTCCCTAATCGACTAAGGGTGCGTTTCTTTACTAAAATCCAAGATCAGATCAAAAATCCGGGATCATTAGGAATTTTCGTTGAGAAAAGAAACGATGTATGCAAAAAGGGATTATTTTTCATTCACTTCCATAGAAACGACCTACAATATCGACGGTATCCCCGGGAAAGAACAACACGGCTGCTGACAAGGTTGCAAGTTTGCGGATGGCTTTCATTGTATTCTGGAGGGTTAGCTTTAGGATAGTTGAAATAAGATATGTAATTGAAAAGTAAAGTCTTGTGAGACGCGCCGGCGAAGTTGTGTATAATAGTTTTCTTCGTTGTAACTAGAACAATGGGACTATGCAGGTTGATTTTACCACCCCGATAAAACGGGTAAAATCGACTGCAAAAATGGCCGTAAAGATAAGCAGTCTTGTCAAAAAGCTGATCTATGTCATGTATTACAACTGATAAGTTTAGAGTTAACGCAGGCAATATTCACTCTTTTTATATGTAAGCTTGTGCTTAATGATATCCTTATGTCCTTTCTTACATTGTCAAGCGCTTAGAACAGCGATGTATAAGCGCTATACAAATTCCATTATTATTATTATTATTTTTCGGATCCGTCAGGTAAAGAAACGTTTCGGGTCATGTATCCAAAGTATCTGGTTTTGGATATGATCCAAAGAATCAACCTCCGTTGTGGATCATTTGATCAATGATCCGTTTTTTGATTTTAGTAAAGAAATGAAATACCGTAAAATTCCGAAAATAATCCCTGAATTCTCTATTTTCCAATTGCCCATAATACACTCTGTTTGCCCCCCAAATTCTGAATAAACCATTGTTTTTAAATGCTCCTGGGAGTATTGCATTTTCCCAAGAGCATTTTAAGACAATAAGTTATGCAAAATTTGGGGGGCAAACAGAGTGTATTATGGGCAATTGGAAAATAGTCAATAAGCCCCTCCAAGTATAAGACCCCCAAACCGGTAACGTAAAAGACCCTCCGTTAAATCGCCCTTCCAAATATAAGCCCCCCGGGGGCTTGTACTTGGAAAATTGCCCTGAAATGCAAAGGAAAACAAAGCAAAAACGTTAAATTTACTTCCAACTATAAGGCTAGCCCAATCGATTTTGAGACGCAAATTTCCCTCCCTAGATAAGGCCCTTCGAATAAATAAGCCCCTCAAAAAGGGCCTTTGAAAAATATAAGCCCCGGAGCTTATTTTCGGAATTTTATGGTATCCGTTTTCGGATTACAAATTTTAGTAAAGAAACGCACCCTTTAAGTCCCCGTTTCTGTACACGTCACGTGACATTCCAATAACCTCCTTCAGGGACCTCCCAGGCAATTACCTCCCAAGGCGTTTCCTCTCTTCCCACTAAACCCTCCACTTCAATATGGCGCTCAAGTGTTTGTCAGTTTTCTCGTCCTTTGATTTCTTTATAGCATCATTAGCAGTAATCTTGCTTCTTATAGTCATACGGATCGCTGTGTCTACAGATTTCTACAAGAAGTTTTTTGCCAAACTGGAATCTAACTTTTCACAAGCGACGAAAGGAATCTTTGCGCCACTGAAACAGAAGATTTTTGTTGATCTCAGCAATCGATTGAAAGAACTGGAAGGCGATGTTTTGGAGATAGGGATCGGTGCGGGAGAGAACTTCCATCTTTATCCTGAAGGAACATCCCTCATAGCTGTTGATTCAAACCCACACGTTGAGGAACTTCTTACGGAAAACTTGAAGAAAGCAGGCGAGAGAGTTCACTTGAAGAAGTTTGTGGTAGCCTCAGCAGAGGACATGAGCTGTTCACCAGGGAAACTTGGTGTGGAGGATAACTCCATTGCTGCTGTTGTTTGCACGCTGGTGCTGTGTTCTCTTACTGACGTTCAAACGACGAAAACAATTCGAGAAGTGAAAAGAGTCTTGATGCCTGTAAGTAAAATGTTTTGTCATTTTCCCGGGGGAGTGGCGGCGGCGAGGTGCGGGGGCGGGGGGTACTTCCATATATGGGCTAGATAGGTATGTGCCGCCCGATAGGGTATGGTGTTTGAGGCCTGGGGGGGGTACTGCCATATATGGGCTATATAGGTATGTGCCTCTGTGAAGGGTATGGTTTTAAAGCAGTTTACTCTAGGATAGGGTATATAAATCAGAGCGTTTGGCTCTAGAATAGGGTATCATTTTTCAGGAAACTGATCAGTTGGTTGAAGATTTTATCTAGACTAGGGAAACAGCTACTCTAGGATAGGGGGATTTGGGGAGTTTACTCTAGTATAGGGTAGCAAAACTCAGCTGAACTAGCTCTGGTAAAGGTTAAGGGTTCCAGGTTCCCAGCGGCACATCCCCACCCAGAAATTCCTAAAGTGCTCCCCCCGGGGTTTGAGGGTATTGTTTTTGCCCTTGTTGGCATTGTGTTCCCAGTGTGATCCTTAGATAGGGTACTCAAATTGTATCAGCAAAAATGCCCCACAACACAAGATACAAATCATCTTTTAGTTTAATGAATGTTTGTGTCTTGCCATTTAATTCTTATCCTTTGTTTTTCCTTTGAACAAGGGGGTGTTTTTTTGGGTTTGGCCCATAAATAGGATGCCAATTTTCGTTTGTTCGTTGCTGAAAATATGTATTCAAAAAAAAATAAGTTGTGCTTGCCCCTGAGCTGTCTGAGGTTGCTACAGAATCTACTTGCAATTTTTCTCATGCATGACTTAAAGAAAATGCTGAGTTCTGGCCAGGTGCTTAAACTTTGACATAGTCAAAATACATAATAAAGTTCTTGTATCTTCTGTGATATTAAGAGTGCCCTGACTTGAATTTTTGGTGTGTTTCAGGGGGGACGATTTTACTTTCTTGAGCATGTTGCAGGTTAGTTCACTCAACTTTGTTATGACCTATAAAGTCAGACCTCTACTAATAAGGAGTTGTTGCAAGACAATTATGGTGACAGCTACGAGAATGTTAGTAAAAGTCATCATACTTTTTGTTACAGTTTTCATTGCAATCACTGCTTAAAGGATGTAAAATTAAAAATGTTGTAACCTAGGTTTCTAAAACACATTTGATATTACATTACACCCATCGACAGCCATTTACTTCTTTGTGCCTCGATAGGCATGAAGACTATAAGAATGATTACTTTTAAAGGCCTGTGATAGAACTTTTTTGTGTGTGTTAATTTCAGCTTTGCATAGTTTTTTAAAGGAGGGTTTGTTCCTGAGGACATAACTTAAGAATCATTCATCAGGCATTATCGCTGACTTTCATAATTTCAAAATTCTGCTGTGAAAAATGTCAACATGCCTTCCCCCCCCCCC